GTAAAGGAGAGTTGATGAAAATTGTAAGGAGATAATGAGTTTGAATTGCACATAATCAGTATTCTCCCTTATTGGAAAGAAACCAACAATTACAAAAATGAACATCTTCCTGGACAATATATTGGTATAGCTTAAACAAGGAGCACACCATACCCTTTACCACAGAGCAGTTAACTTTTGGAACTGGGCTAAAGAAAGAAAATGGATGAGGAAATTGAGGTAGAGAAATAGATAGCATTGTGATAATTTATCACAGATAATCAGGGCCACCAATTCTGACCTTTACAAGATCATTTCCACTTTTTAAAAAATTGATTTTAATGAGAAAGAAATAGCAATAAGACAGTTCCAAAACAGGTTAGTAGGACAGTTACAATAATTAATACACTGCATATTGTTGTCTTCATAGTAGTTATTCAGAGTATAAGATGCAGTCATGATATCTTGTCTAAACAAGATTTGTACTATTAGTACAAATCTTTCTTCTCATTGAACTAAAAGAAAGTAGCTGTATATACTATTTTGTATATACAGATATATATGCATAATATATATTATATGTAATGTATTTTTTCACTACAAAATGGTCCTTCATTTATATTCTCCTTTTTTGTTTTGTTTTGTCAGAGATGGGTATTCCATTGCTATGCAAATATTGTACGTGCATGAATTCAGCAAAATAATCCAATATAGTCCAATAATCCATAATAGTAGTGGGTTATCTGCAGAACTGGCAATGTCAGAAGTTGTTGACTTGAGCCTTTTACAGCTCAGCATATTAATACGGTTTTACTTTTTATACCTCGTGTTTATACTTTTCTGCTGGATGGTTAAGACCAAGGTAAAACAAGACCTATATAACAAGAAATGTAACTTTTGTATCTAACAAGGTCAGTCAGGTCCCCTCAGGATTTACCCTGAAACCATGTACATCAGTTTATAGATCTTTTGTCAGTATCAGCCATGTGGATGAGTCATGGCCATTGCTTGACCAGTTTGCTCTCTGTGAAAGCCTGAGAGAATCTTTTCTCTCTAGGTGACTCTCCTTAAGCACACTATACATCAACCATTTCCACTTTGAGAGGTAAGTAGAATTCATCTTCAGCAACCTTACCCATAAATTCACAAGACTGTTTTATAGTTTAGTAGAAAGGCCATGTAACAATATGTATAGCTAAATGTTTTCCAAACTTGAGAATCATTTAAGTTTCCCTTGTTAAATTGTTACCTTTAAATTGACTCATAAAATATTTTTAATTAAATGTATTTCCAAAAAGCAATTGTCACTGTTTAAATAAAAAACAATGTCACTTACAAATGATTAAAGTAGAAGTAAATCCACTGTAATAAGGTTGTGAACATGAATGTTATTAAATTCCAGCTGAGTACACTTTTTGTCCACTGAAGAATGAGAAATATATTAAAAATCACTACCCCAAACTAGGGAAAACCCTTAATGAAATAAAGAAGACTGAGAAAGGAATAATTTTCCCCTCCTAAAACATCGTTTAATGCCGTGTCTCTGTACCATTTGAAGTTGTCTTGTTTTCAGAAAATCGCAGAAGACTAATTTCCCACCCACCCTAGACTTTAGCACCCCCCATAATATAATTATTCTTCTCTGTGTCTCTGGTAGAGTAGTCAAAACTCTTAGTCCTCAATGACTCAAAAACAAATTTTAAAAACCTACCAGCATTCCAAATAGCTAATCCCTGACAACCTTTCTTTTCTTTCTCTCCTTCCTTCCTTCCTTCCTTCCTTCCTTCCTTCCTTCCTTCCTTCCTTTCTTTCTTCCTTCCTTCCTTCCTACTTATTTATTTTCTGGACAGAAGGAATTGAGGAACCCACCATAACACAAACCTGAAGTAAAGGTAATGAAAGTGACTTTTTCTCCAAAGATACTTACTTAGCAGAGGCCTGGACAACCAGACAAATGGCTGGAGTTTGATCCCTTCTAGAGAGGGTGACTCTTCTTCACCATCCCAGAGCCTGGGGTACTGTCAGAGCAGATGGACTGCTGGGTCTCAGGTGCTAAAGCTGCAACCTCAGGGAGCTCTGGAGATAGTTTCTCGCTGGGTAGTGGCAAAGCCTCAACAGCCTGAGCATCTGGCACCTTAGGAACCTCCAGGACATTTGAAGACTGACTTTGAGAAATCTCTTGGACTAAAGAGGTGTTGAGAGAGGTCTGCTGAGTGGGAAGTAGGAGCTGAAAGTCTTGGACAGTCTGGGAGACCTGTGGATCCATAGCCTGAAAAGGCATCACTGGGACCTGGGTGGCCGTAGCCTGGCTTCCAGATGCCTGAACAGTTGGAGGCTGTGTTTGAAAAGCCCAAGGAGGATTCTGGGGCTGGCTTTCAGAGTGTACATGAACCTGAAAGGGACTCTGAGGAGACACAGGCCCTACCAGGTGGCTCTGAAAGGCCACAGGCGTTGCAGGATGACTCTCTAAGGAAAGGGTAACTGGAAGCTGGTTCTTAGAGGCCACAGGGAGGATAGGCTGGCTCCTAGAAGTAGTGAAAGAAGGCTGAGCAGAGATTGAGAGGGAAACAGCAGGGTTCTTTAGGGCCAGGACATCAGAAGGCAAGGGCTGGTCCAGAGAGGATGGAGGTTGCAGCAGAAGGCTCGTTCCACCACGACCTTCAGGGCCTGGGAAGCTGACTGCCTCTGGACTGTTGTCATCTTCAGGCTCTGGGCCCAGATTCTCTTTGCAGAAGTCTTGAGGATCACTACTGTCCTTGGTGCTTTCCCTTCTACCTTTGCCCTTCTTCTCCTCCTCCAGGCCTGCCACGGCCATGCCCAGGATGCCCCTCCTCTTCAGGGACCTTAGGTGCTGCCGCTGCATCAGAAAGGTGTTGGAGATGCTCTCGAAGGTCCAGGAGAAGCGGTGGCTTGCGCTGCGGCGTAGAGTTTCGACCGTGGGGACAGCGGGCGTGCGGGTGCTCCTCCTGGAGGACTCTTCCGGGAGCAGCTCTATGTTACCGGTGTACCAGGAGACCCACCAGAGCAGGCTGAAGAAGATGATGATCGAGCCCAGGTACAGCAGCATGTCGTAGAAGAGCAGGTCCGCGAAGACGCCAGTGAACAGCACCACAGCGCCCACAGTGTCAAAGACCACGCCCAGCCAAAAGAAATGCTTGCAGCGGCCCAGTCTCGGCCGCTTCCCAGTAGTGGAGATGCTGGTTGTTAAATGCTCCATAGTCTCTCACTGTTGCTGCCACTACGTCCGTAGAAGGGGACCAGGCCGGCAAAACGGCTAAAGTACGGAGGCCGCTGGGTCCCCATGACAACGCGAGGGGCAGGGCCAGAGGAGGGAAGTTAGGCCCCACCCAAGCCCAACCAGAGGAAAAACGGAGCTGGAGGAGAAAAGCCTCCGCTCAGTGGGAGGGTATCTATCCCAAACCCGCCTTGTGCGCTTGCGCAGTGTTCCCCCCCAAGATCCTGGGCTCGCGATTTCGCAATTTGAGGAGCAATTACTCCTCCATAGGGTAGAGGGCAGCATGGTGTCTTATTTCTGCAGTTGGGAGAGCAGCGGTGTATATAAAGGTGTATATATATTCCCACGCCTCACCTTCCTGGGCAAGACCCTGAAAAGAGCACAGGGCAAGGACTTTCCTCTAGTGAAGTCCACACAACTGGAATGTAGTTGGTTCCCAGGCAGACACTTCCCAAAGTACTTAAGTTAGGGTCTATGGTTAGATTTTGTCTTGTTTTGTTTTCTTTATAGTGAGAAATTGAATCCAGGGTATTTTCCCTGAACTGCGTTCTCAACCCTCCTCTCCCCATTAATCTTGAGACAGGTCTTTCTGATTCACTCAGATTGGGTACAATCTGTAATTCTCTCAGACTCCCAGAATGCTGGAATCTTAATTTTTTGGTTTCTCACTTTTTGAGACAAGGTCTCTTTATGTAGTTCAGGCTGGCCTTAAAATCTCAGAGATCTTCTTACCTCAGCTTCCAGAGTATTTGTATTAAGGGCATGTGGCACCATGCCCAGTAGGAATGTTAATTCTTGTTTTAGCTGTCTGCCCCCAAGTGCTTACAGTTAATCTACTGGTTCCAGATAATAGCGGAAAATAGGTATAGAAGGACAATACCTGATTATGGTAAAAACTATATCCAAAAAACCAATAGCCACTATCATACTAAATGTGGAAAAATTAGAGGAATTCCCCCCAAAACAGGCACAAGACAAGGATGTTCACTGTTATTATAGGCAGCTAAGTTAGGTAGAAATTAATGTACAGTTAAGGAAGGACTAGGTACTCAAGGAAGTAAGCAGAAAAAAATAGAGATTTCAGAATTGTGGCTGGAAGTGCATCTGAAGAAGATCAAACCTCAAGATAAAGATGCAATGGTCAGCCTGCATACCTCCCTAAGAAGTAAAGAGTAACTTGAAATTATACTGTAATTAACCACATGGTCAAAAAAGTCCACACAGGAATCAGTTACCCAGAGCACCTGGACCCATCCTTTCACCCAAATTCCTTTGTTCTTTTCATGTACACTTGCCATGTGACTCATTTCTCTACTGGGTCAATGATAGCAAAGCAGCTGTACTTATAATCTCATAACTTGATTATAGTTTGACTCTTGTAGTATCCACATTGTGTCTTTGCTGTATAAAGTACTCTTGACAGAGGGCCTTGGTGGCAACTCACTTTTGGGATCCTTCTTATCTCTCAGTAGCTGTTTCTCAATAAATACTTCGTATTCTTAACCTCCATTGTTCCTGGGAATGTTTTCTTTGCTCTTGTAGGACATGATCTTGTCACATTTGCCATCTAGCAGGTCTGGAGTTATATATCTCCTATATCACTATTACCTCTTCTATTCAGTATAGTACATGGAACATTACCCAGAACAATTAATCAAGGCAAAGAAATAAAAGGGTACACATAGAAAAGGAAAAACTCAAATTATTATTATTTGCAGATGACATGATACTATACATAGAAGACCCAAAGAACTCCACTAAAAACTTTTTAGAATTAATAACAAACTTCAGTACTGTAGCAGGATACAACAGCAACACACAAAAATTATTAGCATTTGTGCACACCAACAATGAACAGGATGAGAAGGAAATTAAGAAAATAATATCATGTACAGAAGCCTCAAGAAAAATGAAATACCTAGGAACTAACTTAACCAAGGAAGTGAAAGAGCTCTACAAAGAAAACTACAGTAATCTGAAAAAGGAGACTGAAGAAGATATCAGATAATGAAATGATGGCCCTTGCTCCTGGATAAGCAGAATCAATATTTTCAAAAACATCTATTCCTTCAAACCTGTTCACAAATTCAATGTAGTCTCAGTTAAAATGCTATACATACATACTATATAGGTCTAAAAAAAATTCTAAAATTCTTATGGAACCAGAAGAGATCCAGTATAACAAAAACAATTTTGGACAACAAAAGTAAAGCAGGAGACATAGCACCTGATTTCAAACTATACTACAAAGAGGTAGTGATTAAAACACATACAAGGATCAATGGAATAGAACTGAGGATATAGAAACTCCCAAGACACATTCAGCTATCTTCTCTTTCAACAAAGGAGCTAAAAGCACATGTTGGAAGAAAGATAGCTTAGTCAACAATTGGTGCTGGGAAGACAGGTTATCTGTGTCCAGAAGATTGAATACTGGACCCTTATTCTCTCACCATATACTAACTTAATAATAAATCAAAGATCTAAACATTAAAATAAGGTCTGGCGAGATAGCTCAGTGGTCTAAAGCGCCTGTGTAGGCAAACTTAGGCAGACAAAGGAGACCACGGTTCAATTCCTGGCCCCACATGTTGTGCCAGCCCCACCCTCAGGGCAGGCTGAGCCGGCCTACATAAATAAGTAAGTAAATAAATAAATAAGAGACACTCAATACTTAACTTACTAAACATCAAAAATAAAAACAGTAAACCTACTGGAAGATAAAAATAGGTAAAACACTTAAAGACACAGGTGAAGGAAAGGCAAGTGAACCTCAATCACAAAAGAAGTAATAGAATCAACAAGTGCAATTATATCTAAAAATCTTTACAGCAAGAGAATCGATTAGTAGAGTGAAGAGAACCTACAGAACAGGAAAAAATTTTGCTAGAGGGCTAATATGTAAGAAAATATGAAGGACGACCTCTAAACATCTTAAATTAAAGATCTAGTAAGGATATGAGCAAGAAAAATGAGTAGACACTTCATGGAGGGAGAAATACATGAGGTTTTTTTTTTTTTTTTTTTTTTTTTTTTTTTTTTTTTTTTTTTTTTTGGTTTTTTTTTTTTGTGGAACCGGGCATTAAACTCAGGCCCTTGCCCTTGCCAGGCAAGCACTTATTCTACTGAGCTATCTCCCTGGCCTCAGAAATACAAAAGGTTAATAAACATATGAAAAAATGTTCAGTATCACTGGCCATTAGAGAAATGCAAATTACAATGATGCTAAGATTCAATTTGACTCCAGAAAGAATGGCAATCTTTTTTTTTTTTTTTGCATTTTAGTAAGGGTCTACAGGGTCTCATTACATAGATCGGACTTGTAGTGATTCTCCTGTTTACAGTCTCTCAAGTGCTGGGATTACAGGTACGCTTCACCACATACAGTCTTAATTGCCATCTCAGCACCCCCAGGGGCTGGGGGTGGCACAGCAGTCTGGGCTCAAACCTTTGACCCCCGTGTCTGCTTAAGCAGGCACTTTAATCCACTGAGCTATTTGGCAGGCCTTATTAAGAATGGCAATCATTTTTTTGTTTGTTTTGTTTTCTTTCATTTTTAAAATTTAATTTATTGAGAAATAGCAATGAGACAGTTTCAAAACAGGTTAGTAGGACAGTTACAATAATTAATGCATTGCATATTATTGTCTTCATAGTAGTTATTCATAGTACAAAATACAGACATGGTATCTTGTCTAAACACTATTAGTACAAACCTTTCTTCTCATTGAAGTAAAAGAAAGTAGCTGTATATCTATCCTAATTATTTTGTAAATATAGATACATATATATTTTTTTTTTCACTACAAAATGATCCTTCATTTATATCCCCCTTTTTTGTTTAGTTTTGTCAGAGATGGGTATTCTATTGCCATTCAAATATTGTATGTGCGTGAATTCAGCAAAATAATCCAATATAGTCCAATAGTCCATAATAGTGGTGGGTTATCCACAGGACTGGCAATGTCAGAAGTTGTTCACTTGAGTCTTTTACAGCTCAGCATATTAATATGGCTTTAAGTTTTATACCTCGTGGTTATATTTTTCTGCTGGATGGTTAAGACTAAGATAAAGCAAGACCTATATAACAAAAAATGTAACTTTTGTATCTGAGAAGGTCAGTGAGGTCCCCTCAGGATTTACCCTGAAATCACGTACATTAGTTTGTAGATCTTTTGTCAGTGTCAGCCAAGAATGACAATCATTAAGAAATAAAACAATAGCATGCTGGCATGGCCATGGTGGAAAATGAATCTTCATTTATTGTTGGTGGGAATGTAAAATAGTACAACCATTATGGAAATTTTACAAAGTGCTGAAATTAGAAATTCCATTTGAGGAACTCCAGCGGTACTTTTACAGAGATACCATATTACCTGGGTATCTTCCCCAAAGAGCTTAAAACTTCAAAACATCACACTACTGTGATACATACATAGCAACCTTTATAATAGCACAATTCCTAATAACTAAATCCTGGAAGCTTCTTGTATATCCATCAACTGATGACTGGAAGAAGAAAATGTATTTATATATAATGGAATACTATTCTTCTATGAAGAATGATTCATTTAAGACATTTGTAGGAAAATAGATGTACCTGGAAAATACAACGTTGAGTGAAATGAACCAGATCCACAAGTTTGAATACCATAGGTATCTCTTGTTTAAATGAGGCAAAGTACAAATAAAGAGAATAATAAAACATGGGTAGAATGGGACAAGGGGATGCATCTCTTACAATAGAGAAGTGATCCAAGAGAAAAAGCATGATGGGTAAAGAGGAGGAAAAGAGAAAAGATGTACAATAAAGATACACCATCTACAGGAACTTAACAGCTTCAATTAAGGCAAATATATGCCATAACATAAGCTAAGATTAATAATGTTACAAGAATAAAAAATGGGATAGGAAAATTTGAGGAGGAAGGAGGGATAGGGAGGGAAGGGGAAGGGATAAAAAAGAAACAAGCATGTCAAGCAACCACTCTCCCAAGATGATTGTAAACTGCATGAACTGAAAAAAATGTACTGATAATAATAATAATAATAAAAACAGGTCACTTAAGCAGTACCGATGAGAAATTCTAACTCCAAATGCTGTATGCCTTTGGTTCTTCAGTTGCTTAAGTGGAATCGAAAAAAAGAACTTACACATTATACAATTTAAAAT